AAAAAATTTATTTATGGAAAATACTTATCTATTGGGACTAATTGAGAATAATATCTCTTTACTGAGGAATAAATTTTCAGAAAAATTTAGACTTATCAATTTTGCCGTCATGCCTTCGTTTTAAGAAGATAAGCGAATTAGTGAAGAAGGGGGGATAAAAACAGCGTTTAAAGGAACCCTCACACTTTCTTCTGTTATGACATATTTTGGAGAGAAATATGACCCATTATCGAAATCTGTCTGTTATAAGATTCTCTGCTCTTGTGGTCAAACTTATGTTTGTGAGCCATGCCAACCTATTCCACAAAGATTGGGTGAACAAAAAATGCTTGTAAAGGAAGCTGGGTCCAGCGGTCAGAAGCAGACCAAAGACTGGACATGAGATAGACTGATCTAAAATGAATATGTTTGCTGAATATAGTACATCTGCCATTAAAAGGAAGATAAGATAGGCTATTGGAATGAAAAGGTTAGTAAATACGTTGAATTTGAGGAACTGTGGTAGAAAGTTGAGTAAGAACTACTTTTGCCTGACTGGCAATTTGATGGAGAAAATAGGGTGCTGAGCCACTATCCAAGAGGTGATGGCTCAACATGTTTGATTAAGCTCATAAACCAAACCAGACGTACCAGATTACGCAGCCCCAGTCATGCCTTTCCTTGGGTGGTTAAACCTTAATGACCTCAGACTGAGAGGTTAGCACAGGTGGTTTCGTATCTTGACTTACTTGCTTACAAGCTCACATCTCATTATCTCAACCATACTTGTTTACAGACTTACGCGGTCTCGGTCAGGGCTTTTTATTGGATCCTTAAGCCTTGATGGCCGGTTTCTGGTATCAGCCATTTTTTATCACTCCGATTTAGGACCGGTATTGCCTATAGATATTAGCACACACTCACATACAGATACACACGAAAGATAATTAGCCAAACCATTCTATACCTATTTATGCCCATTAATTTTCTTTTTATTAATTGAATCTATGTAAGAGGCAAGATAGAGCCGTGAGACTTTACAAGAATGAGTTACAGCTCTGAGGATGTCCATCATATGATGGGCCAAATCTCAGCCCATTTTCGCACGAGGCGTGGGAGGATGTTTTATGGACGGCGTCAACCTGAAGGTCGTATTAAAGCCAAACGGCTGCAGTTCAACGATATCAGTCTTCAAATCTCTTCTTGCACTTTCATACAAAATGAAAATCTTCCCAATAATGATCATCGATAGCACGTTTGAAAAAGACCTGTTTAATTTACATAACTTGTTTCCCAAAAGGTATTCTTCCCTCGGCCAGAATGTACTTTGCCTTCGACCTCACAGGTCTAGTCAAGACACTTAAAGATAATCGAACTCGAGTTATTCATAGAAAGGCCCTGATATAATACCAATATACCACGCCCCCACGAGTTCGCCTGGCCCTAGAACAGACGTTACTGTTACGAAGGGCCAAGTCTCTCTCATTTCCAAATTTTTCTTCTGGGCGTATTGATTTAGCAAATTTGCATTTGCTATTACAACTGAATTCATTACTTATATTACGATTAAAAAGGTTTAGCAAATAACATTAGATTTTGGATATTAGCTGTATTCAGCCTAGGTGACATAAGGTGATAAAGGACTGACAGTTAAATTTTCCTACAATTAAATGAGTAGGTCCCATGTTTATACTGAATTTCACAGTCCTTTTTCCCAAAAGTTATTCTTATCGTGACTCGACTGGATCGGCATCTCCAGTTGGACTCGAATTCGTTTTATAGTAGTTCGAAGTATAATCTCGACACGTTAACCACGACATTGGCAGTTTTGAAACCTTCTCAATAAAAGTATAAGTTAAACCTTTGAATTAGCGTAAGTTTT